ACCATGTTGACCAGGATGGTCTCGATCTCCTGACCTCGTGATCCACCCGCCTCGGCCTCCCAAAGTGCTGGGATTACAGGCTTGAGCCACCGCGCTATCTGGGCCCTCTTTACCGTCCCCTAGTGAGAGGATACCTGACAGCTTGAAGCTATGACTCAGTTTCCCTTTATTAAGTTGGATCTATTCCCATGGTTCAGATGGACAGGAGCGAGTCTCAAACTTTAACAAGGGAGTCAGAGAATACTGGGACAGCTGCCCTTTTCCCCAGTCTATCACTGCGAGTATTAACTGGGCAGGAGGCCTCTTGTTGGCTGTTTTTGCTTCTGACTTACAGCTTAAACTGATGTCTCATCTCACAGTCTGAGACTTGCAGTGTGGAAATCCCAGAGCTAGAATTTGAACTGGGAATGGCCGTCCTCGGGGGCAAGTTCACCACACTGGAAGGGCTGCTGAAAGACATCCGGGAACTGGTGAGTCACCTGAGTAGAGTGTAAACCACCTTTGAGCAGTTTGGCTGTGTGAAAAGGGACTGAAAAACTTCAGACATCCTAGTTTTCGATGCTGATAACCGGGTTTCTTTGCCTTAAAGCTGGTTTAAGAGACTTACATATTATTTTGGATTGTGAAGATAAGTTTGTGGGAAATGTTGAATGGAAATTCCAGGCCTAACTTTGAGACTTTATAGTTATTTTCTGGTCTTGGATAAGTCATTTATTTTACTGTAAATTTAGGGGATGAGGGTCCTTCTAGCACCTAAAACTTCCCAACATAAAAAAACATACATGTATGTGTTGACTTAGCCCAAATATTTATCTTCTTGATGAATTATTTCATATGATACTCTGTTGGGCATTTTGTATTTGTAAATTGTACTTTTTCTTTGCATTTCTTCTCCAAATTAGGATTAGAGATTATATTCTAAGAACATGTTTCTAGATTTTGTTTTACATTGCCAGTTTTGTTGTCTTGGCACATTATCCCGTAGACTCCTAGGAGTGACTGCTTTGGTCAGAAAGGTGGTGTGGACTAAATGGAAATGAAGTTTCTCTGATTGGGCATCCACTGCCACCGCCTTCCTAGTTTATGGTCAGGCCTAACAAACGTAAAGCCAGTATTCACACAATTTGTATGTCATTTATTGCAGGTGACCAAAAACCCTTTCACACTGGGCGACAGTTCCAGTCCTGGCCAGGCGGAGAAACTGCAGGAGTTTAGCCAGAAGATGGACCAGGTAAGAGGTCACTGGCCAGTCAGTACTTAGAGTCCTGGGGCTCCAGTGAACAAGAGGCTGCATGCTCGTGTCTTGCGACTTTTTGAAGATCTAACCATCAGGTTGGGGATTCTTCTGGTTCCCTATATTCCATGTCTTCTTTCTTGTTTTTCACCCTTATTTTGTTGGAGCATCTTTTCCAGTAACTTCCTAGGAAAAAGTGCATGGGAAATAAAATTTCTGGGACCTTCCATGTTTGAATATTTCTGTTATCACACTGAAGTGACTATTGGCTGGGAATAGGATTCTAGGATAGAAATAATTTTTTACCAGAAACTTGAAGACACTGCTCTACAGTCTTCCAGTTTGGTGAAGACACTGCACTGCTGCCTTCCAGTTTGGCTGTTGAGAAGTCTGAAGCCATTTTGATTCCTGGTCTTTTATATGTGACCTAGTCTGTGATCTCTTTGTCTCTGATGTGGAAGTTTAGGATGTGCCTTGGTGTGGGTCACTTTTTACCCAGTAGGCTAAGCACTTGGTGGATCTATGGATCTTTTCAGTCTGGAAAACTCATGTGGTTCAGTTCTAGGAAGCTTTCATGAATTATTCTATTGAGGATTATCTTTTTTCTGATTATTTTTTCTGTTCTTTCTGAAAACTTCTGGGTTTTAGATATTAGACTTACTTGTCTGGTCTTCTATAATTTACTTTTTTTTTTTGTCCTACTTTTAGTTTCTTGGGGTTTTTTTTTGTTCTACTTTGGGAGATTCCCTCAACTTTATTTTCCAACTCTTCAATTGAGGTTTTCATTTCCACTAAAATTTTTACTTTCCAAAGAGTTTTTTAAAAAATAGAATCCTGTCTTAAGGATGTAGTATTTTTTCTTCTTAGGGATTATTATTATGGTTTTTTTTTTTTTTTAATTTTTTAGCATGCAGTTTATATAGTGCTTCTTGAGAATACTGATGTTGGATTTTTTTTGAGATTTCTTTCTCCTTGCAGCCGATTTTTTCCCCATTTAATTTCCCATCTTTCAGTTTTAAGGGCTTTGTTCAGATGTCTGATAATCATTGATTGTCTTCTTACAAGTAGAGGCCTAAAGATCTGAGTAGGGTGAGCCTTGTTGACATGGGGCTTAATGCAGGGGGATTTAGCTTAGCCATTTTGTTGAGGTAGCCTCCAATGCCAGAACTGTTAGGTATTTCCTCCTGGGCTGGTCAGATTCCTTTCATCTCCTTGCTGTTCCATTTCCTGGCCTGAGGGTAAAGGCTTGTCTGGCAGTGTTCTGAGACCTATGGGGAAGGGCTGGGGTGTGTATGTATTCTGTTTCCCATAAGCTTACATTCATTTAACCTCCTTGTTCTTGATTCCTTTCCCTCCAGTCTCAACTGGGCCAGCACCTTCAGTCCACAGGTTGCTGATGTTAGGTTTTCTCACCAGTCCTTATTTTAGATCCTTTCCACTTTACTTTTAGAGCTACCTAATTACACCAATTCTTAAAACTTTTGAGGATTCTGTAATATAAATTGGATTGGTTCTTGTCTGGCAGACATAGCCCCTTTTTTTTGGGGGGGCGGATTATGTAAAGTTTACTTGCCTTGTTCTCTCTCTCTCTCCTTTAGATTATCGAAGGTAATATGAAGGCCCACTTTATTATGGATGATCCAGCAGGAAACAGTTATTTGCAGGTATGATAGACCTTGTCTGGTGTTTCATAAAGATACATTTTGTGATCTTCCTTGAATATATATCATTTCCTTAGAAACGGAAAGACTTGATTCCAAAGGGACTGCTTTTTACCAAAGAGGCAGAAGCTAGAAGATACATAAGGGAGAAAAGAGGAGGGTGTGGGAGAGGATTTTTTTTTTTTTAAGTGTATGTAAGGAAGGAAAAAATGGATACTCTGAGGCTTCTTTTTTCCTATAGTCTAACTCTTGTCCCCAGTTCTGGAGTTTTCATTTTGCTAATCTGATTATGGAGTGAGGAGAAATGGTTCCTTGTCCTGAGGCCAAGATAGGAAACTGAGAGGCTTTAAAAGTTGACTGGGGAGGTAGTCTGGTGATTGAGGTACCTTGAACATTTATTGAATATTTATCATGGGTCAGGCAAAACTCTTGTAAGTTCTTTCCAAGATTAAGACCATTGCCACATGTTTCATAAGAAGGTGCGGATGTAACAAAATAAGTGGATTGTTCCCTGATTCTGGGGCTGGGCTTTTCCACCCCTGGTTCTTGTGGGCACTGTTGCTACCCTCTAGTTCCGTCTAGCCATGGTAAATTGGAGGCCAATAAATAGAAGAAAAAAACCCCCAAAGTCATTAAGTTCTTGTGAAAGTGGGAGTTGGAAGCTGCCTGCAGGGAGGGAAGTGGCACGGCGGCACTGATTATCTGTCCTTGACCTTGCAGAATGTGTATGCACCTGAAGATGATCCTGAGATGAAGGTGGAGCGTTACAAGCGCACTTTTGACCAAAATGAGGAGCTAGGGCTCAATGACATGAAGACAGAAGGCTATGAGGCAGGCCTGGCTCCACAACGGTAGCAGTGGGTGGGTCAAGAGCCAGCCTCCAGCGCTGCTCATTCTGCAGGTTATTTGTTAGTATTAGAAGGCTGGGAGTGTCCTCCGCACCAGCCCTGGCCTATGGTGGGACAGACATCCTGGTCTGAGTCAGATCTAGGCACACTTTCTAAACAGCTTGTGATGCAAATGCGAGCCTATTGTGTTACTTGACCTTATTTTGGAGGTTTTGAATTGGCCTAGGAAGAAACCCAGAAATGAACTAGGGGTATGTCATGATCACTTTTTTCATAGCAAGTCTTTACCCTCCCTCCACGTAATGCTCTGTCCTCTTAAGGTTGGAACTCTGAAGTTGGAGAAGTTGGGATAAATTTACACCTGGAGTTTGGTTGTCGGTTCTGAATATTGTAAAATACTGACTTTCAACAGGAAAGGAGTCTCCTGAGGGGAGACCGAGTCCAGCACAAGTGAAGGAGTTACCATTAAAATGATGACTTTCAAACTGGCCTCTGTATTGGCTCTATCTGTGTTTGATATCATGCTGTTAGAATTCAGCCTCCTAAAGAAAATTTTCCTGTGTGTCCACTGTAATTTGGAGATTGCAGCTGGCATTTAATTCATTCCTTCAACAGATGCTTGCTTGTCTACTTTGTGCCAAGCACACTACAGGACAGAGGACATCATAAATCTCTTTTATGGAACTTTAAGTCTAGTGGGGAAAAATGACAACAAACAGATCGGGAAACAGTACACGGAGGAATGTAAAGCAGAGATGGGGGCTGGTTGTGCAAGGAAAGGGAAAGTAGGGAAGATCTTCTGAACAAGAAGGTGATCATTTGACATTTGAGCAAAGCTGAGGAGGTCAGGGAGCGAGCCGTGTGGGTAGCTGGGGGAAGAGATTTCCCGGCAGAGGAACTGCAAATGCAAGAGCTGTGAAGTTAGAGCCAGTGGGGTTATCCGATCAGTTAGCCCCACTCTCAGTTACAAATGGCAAAACACATTTAACCAGAGAGACAGGAGGCCATCTGCAATTGTTCCGAAAGTTAAAGACCAGTGAGCACTCTGCTGCTCAGGCCCTGGACTTGCTAGCTGGTACTCTTTGCACTATAGTCTGCTGCCTTTCATAAATAAAAGGTGACTCCTGCAGTGCACACTGCAGGTTATTTGTTCAATAAAGACCAGTTCATTGGTCTTTATTAAGATAACATCTTTTAATTAAGATGTTATCATAAACCTTGTTGCGTTGTGTTGCAAACTTAACTCTGAAGAATGATTTAGAGATGACTTAGCAATCAGACATCTACTCTCACTGCTCTATTAAACTATTCTCAAAGGTCACAAGTGATTTTCCACTTGGGAAATGTTACCTCTTTCTGTCATATTTGATAGTGGACCATCTCTTCTTAACCCTTCTCTTGGCTCTCCATACCCTTGGTTTTCCCTTCACTTTGAATCTTTCTTATTTGGACACTCTGCCTCCTCCCTTTTCCTGAAATATATTTGTTTCCAAGAGTTATGCTTTTAGACGTCTCTCCATATCAGATTCTTTGGCATCTTACTATCATGTGGGACTAACTTCCAGATCTGTATCTCTAATTTCTGTAAGTGAGGGTGGGAGTAAAATGTTTGGAGACTCAAGTTAGCAAATGACTCATTCAAACTATAAAGCTTCAGTACTTTTAGTAACCTTACAGGCAACTATTCTACCCTAAGAGATTATCTCAGCCGGGCACAGTAGCTCACGCCTATAATCCCAGCACTTTGGGAGGCTGAGGCGGGTGGATCACGAGGTTAGGAGTTTGAGACTAGCCTGACCAACATGGTGAAACCCTGTCTCTCCTAAAAATACAAAAATATTAGCCAGGCATGTTGGTGCGCACCTATGACCCCAGCTACTCGGGAGGCTGAGGCAGGAGAATCACTTGAACCTGGGAGGAGGCAAAGGTTGCAGTGAGTGAGCTAAGATCGTGCCACTGCGCTCCAGCCTGGGCAACAGGGAGACTGTCTCAAAAAAAAGAGAGATTATCTCTAGATATGTTTCCAGCTGAATTGGGAATCTAAGTTTCCCAGACAACCCTTCATTTGGTCTCTTAGGTAGACTTCCCCATAGTGTGGGTGTGCTCTGTTAAGATAAACCCCACGATCAGGTTCATTTTCCATTGTGAAGGAAAAAAAAAATGGCACTCCGGCTTATTACCGAATCTGTTGTGAGTTTGGTTGCTGCGAGGCAGTCTCAGAATTCACCCAGTTGCTGGGAAATGACCTGAGTTTCTCAACTTGCAAAGACTGAGGACCAAGTGCCAGACCAGGATAACCCAACTAAGGCACTTCCTGCCCTTTGATGACAAGGCATTCTTTAGTTTCATACTCTTTTCTTGAAGCATCTCTCAGCTCCTTTCTCATTTCATAAAGTGTGTCAGGATGGGAGCTTACATTTAGTTAACTGGGTCTTGCTCCACAGCCCCTAGCATATGACACATGGTTAGTAAAATCTGTTAAAATTGTCCATCCTAGATCAAACCCTATGAGGACACTAGGGATAACATCTATAGGTAATAAGGTATGAAAAGGGTCCTGCTTTAAGGTGAGGGCAGGTGAGACAGTCAAAAGTGCCAGGCCAAGAACACGTAGATTGTTTCACAGCCACAAGAGTAAAATTTAAGTGGAAAGTTTTGTGATTGTGTTAAAAAAAGAAAGTGGTTTGTGTGTGAGGGCACGCCTCCTGCTTTCATGGTTCAAGTATGTGAAATGCAGCCATGTTCAGTCGTTAGACCTGTGGATGAACATACAGGTAGGTACTGAATGTACATCTCTGTCGAGATGAGTGAGTGGAGGAGGTGAGGTGAGTGCTGGGAGCAAGTATGAAGGGCAGTTGACTTGGCCAACAGAAAGCTAATGATTTTAATGATGGCAACACTTGGCCAGGCGCGGTGGCTCACACCTGTAATCCCAGCACTTTGGGAGGCCGTGGCGGGTGGATCGCCCAAGATCGGGAGTTCGAGACTAGCCTGACCAACATGGAGAAACTCCATCTCTACTAAAAATACAAAATTAGCCGGGTGTGGTGGCACATGCCTGTAATCCCAGCTTCTCGGGAGGCTGAGGCAGGGGAATCTCTTGAACCCAGGAGGCGGAGGTTGTGGTAAGCCAAAGATTGCACCATTGCACTCCAGCCTCAAAAAAAANAAAAAAAAAAAAAAAAAAGGCAACATTTCTTTTGTTCTAATGTCAGTATATTTCCTTCTTTGTACACCTGTGGTATGTGCCTGATGCACACTGCAGAGAATCGTGCCTCTGCTTACATTTAGGGCAGTGGTGGTTAAGACTACTTGGCTTTATTCTTATTAAAAACATTTTTTACACACTTCTTTTTAAGGCAAATTGCAGTGTTTCTAACGGTGAAGAGAAAAAAAGCTACTGCTTATTTTGTGTGTTCACCTCAGAGTTTAGTATTGGCACTTCCAATACTTGTTTTCCTATTCTGTAAAAGGGGGATAATTGGGGCTTTGTAGAGTTTTTGTAAGGATTAAATGAGTTAATGGTGAAGTGCTTTTGTATATACTTTCTCTCCTATTATCCTCACAAAAATTCTAAAGTGTTTATTTCTGCATTAACTCATTTTTGGGAAAAGGCACCTATCAATAAACAAAATTACCCTATTTTACAGGTGACAAAACAGCCTCAGAGAGGCTAGTAATTTCCAGTAGGAAGTAGAGCCTTTTTTTTTTTTTTTTTTTTTTTTTTTTTTTGAGGTGGAGTTTCGCTCTGTTTCCCAGGCTAGAGTGCAGTGAGGAGATCTTGGCTCACCACAATCTCCGCCTCCTGGGTTCAAGTGATTCTCCTGCATCAGCCTGCTGAGCAGCTGGGACTACAGGTGCACACCAGCATGCCCAGCTAATTTTTGTATTTTTAGTGGAGACAGGGTTTCACTATGTTGGTCATGCTGGTCTCGAACTCCCGACCTCGTGATCTGCCTGCCTCAGCCTCCCAAAGTGCTGGGATTACAGGTGTGAGCCACCATCCCTAGCTGGAAGTAGAGCTTCTAAGAGGAGGTGTCAAACTCAGGCCAACCAGATGCTGAAACCTGAGCTCTGAATATTTTGAGCTCAACTCCACAATTACTGCATAGCATCTAATCCTGCTTAACTGCTTTGCAGGGTAGGGTGGAGACACTTGGGTCTTCTCAGGCTAAGGGACTGGGTAGGATGGGTAGTGGTGGAATTGAAGAAAACAAGTGGGAAGAAGATGAGTGGGCAGAAGTTGAGAGGGGTGTATTGGCAGTGTTCACTGGAGCAGAAGTGTGAGGCTTTCTGAATGCCTGCTGACACCGGGGTGGGGCAGGGCTGTGCAGTACAGTTTAAGATACACCAAACTGGACTAGAAGCCAAGGTAGGGTTGTGTATGGGGTACCCCTGGGGCCCTCCAGCTAGTGAAGCCCTATCCTGTCAATCCAGTGTCCTCGTGTCACAAGCCCTCAGAGACCCAACCTGCTCTCCTTTCTGGAACTGTGCTGCAACCACTCACCATGGTCCACTGGGTAAAAATTCATGTTTCAAGACTGTGATCCCCAAGCCTGCTTTGTATTATATGAGTAAAGAATTTTAAAAATACTTATCCCAAGATATGTATATTTATTTATAAGGTAAAACTATGCCTGCTTGACTAATATATTAAAACAGTGAACTTTTTGGCTCTTGGTCCAAGAAACTATTGTCTGCACTTCTGTTTAGTTGTCTATAGCATCTGCAAATTCTGTCAGAAGGCTGTGATTTCAGGAACACTAAAACTTCTCTCTCAAATGGTACAAATATTCAGTTTAAAGACAAGTTCTGGGGATCTAATGTACAACATGTTGACTATAGCTAATAATTCCGTATTGTTTACTTGAAATTTGCTAAGACAAATTTGCTTAAGTGCCCCCCCACCCAAGCAGTACATAAGTAAGTCTAGTAAAGAATGTTTTAATTAATTTGATTTTGGTAATCATTACACAATGTGTAAGTATACCCAATCATCACACTGTACACCTTGAATACATATAGTTTTTATTTGTCAAATAACCTCATAAGGCTGGGGAAAAATGATAAAAAAGTGACAAAAATCCTAACATATGATGAGGTAAAAAGATGCTATATTTCAATAAATTTGGATGACCTCTTGCACCCCACTTTACTAGCCTCTACTCCCAAGAGTCATGTTCTGGCGATGTGAAGTTGAACAACTCCCTTAATCTTGCCAACCTTCAGTTCTTATTTGTAAAATATGATAATGAAACAATTTGAGAATTGTGAGGGTTAAATATGTTAATTTAATTTGCTCTTAACCCCCTGCAAAGAAGAAAGTCTTTTCTTTCCTCCCAAAACTTGAGTGTTAGAATTCATTCTCTCTGGTTTCTTTCTTTTGCTATGCTGAATATATATCCAGGTCCTTTTCATTGGCAATATTTTATCAATGCTACATATTTTCTAATGTTGTATTACAAGTTCCCCCCCGCCCCCCCGTTATC